TAAAAATCTTAAAATTTAATACATGTATCTGAATAATTTAAATATAATAAAAATTATACCTAAATTATCAAATAAAAGGTCAACTGATGCAAACTACAGTATACTGATTGTGAGTTTTGTTGAATCAAACAATGCCAAACTTTTGGTCTTATTTGGAAACCCTGACATGGAACCTTTGATGTTTACCCCAATAGGAAAGGATACTATGAGTATATTAAAAAATATCACCTTCAATAGATAGCTAGGTCCTGCTTGTGTTGGTACTAGCCACATTGATGGTTGAAAAAAGAAGAAATTTTCAAAATTAGAACCAGATACTGGCCACCAAAAATGCAAACTGAGAGAAACACCCATCAAAAACCACAACCTTGCCATCGAATTTGACTCCCTTTTTAAAAAGAAATAAGTATGTAAGGTCTTCTCACATATTCTATAACTTGATGGTGGCCAAAGACTAATGGACCCACTTTGCATGAAGTGGCAACACCATGCCAAGCAATCACCCATTACACATCTACCTGCACTACTGAAATATGCTGGAACAAGTTGCGGAAGGACCCTGGGATGGTGAATTAGGTAAGTGGGAGCATTTCTTCAAAATCCACATGCATACAGGCATTTTTGACCTCATCATGGAAAAAATGTTGCATGATTTGGTCATGTTGCAAAGGGTTCCCACAGCCACAATCAGGTCCAAAATCCAGGCCTGAAATCGAAAATTATTCAACAGCAAAGATAAAAAAGATAGGTAATTGTCCAGTAAATGCCGCCCATTCTTTATGTTTTGCTAGATACATAATGTGCCTTTTTCTTTCAACACCTCATGATAAAGGTTGCAGCAAAATCAGAGCAAGACTTGTTATTATATGATAAATAAAAGTATACTCCAAGCAACGAAGTTGTCTAGAAAATAACAATTTACTAGTTTAAAATTGATAAAAGGAATATCAAGTTAATGGTGGTGTAATTAATTATAATTTTTAGAACATTAATCCTAATATAAACTAAAATAATTAATTGAAGCCGAAAAATGAGAAATGATATCAAAACTCCGTTAAATCAACTTCGGGGCATTGCCCATAATATTTCATTAATAAAAACAATTAAAAATAACATGAATGTGCAATTTTTATCAGACAAAAAAAAATAATATTACACATGTATCTATATTGTATTTTTATGAACTAGTTTTTGATTCAAAGTAAGGATAATAAGTTATGTTATTAGTTAATTAACGGTTGATTTAACTTGTCTGTAAAAAACCAAACTTTTAGCTAGTTATCTAGGCCTTCACGCAGTCCTTGGCAAATTGTTAACACAATGCTTGTCGGTAAAGTGTCCTGTCGGGTCCGAGATGGCAAAAGTCAAAAGGTTTCGCCGTAGGTCGAAACTGGTTTTGACATATAACTTTTAATTTTGGCGACCAACACCATTCGACACAATCACTATACAAAGGCGGGAAAACCTCGCTTTGCACTAAAACTTGATATATTTTAATGTGATTTTTGAAACTATGGCAATTAATGTGACATACCAATATTGGTTTTAATCAAGATCACCTGAATCACTTGAAGATGTGATGCATTCAAAACCATAAGCACGAATAAAGTGTTTGTTGATGATTGTTTCGTCAGTTATTGAAATTTTTTGTAATGATTGTCAACAGTTGATTTACGGCTCCCACTCCACAAAAAAAATAATACAAAAAAGTATCTTTTACTCGCACCTATAAATATAAAAATAATTTATTTTTATCTAGTGAATAAATGTGACATACGCATGATTTTCAAGTCATGTCTCTCATACAGAAGTCATAAATTTTAATTACATATATAAATATATATATGGTTAATAATATCATCATCATCGCGGTAAAGGTAGTGTGTTTTTAAGAAATGACAAAATCAAATATTTGGTCACGCTTCGTCGAATTGAGTGGGATTAATTAATGGCTTTAAACAAAATAGAGCCTGATGCAAATATTGTAGTCATGAGTTAAAAACCAAGTTGAGTAGAAAGTGATATTGATGTTTAGACACCTATTTTTAATTTTTATAGGTATATACAATAAAAAATGCGCATGAAATTCCATTTATTCTAGAAATGAAGTTAACCCAAAATGAAATTTTAACCCTTGCAAGTCTTGTAGTCATTATTCTATAAATATATTTATGCCACCCATACATACTAACATACCTCCATAAATGCACTGTCCCGTTCATATCAAACTCACCCTCTCTAAATGCACTTTTCACGCGATTATCATACAATTACATAATAAAATAATAAAATAATAAAAAAAAAAAATGACAGAGTAACAGAACAGGGACGGTGATTGACATATAACGTAATCAAATATTTATAAAAAAAGGAAAAATATATATACAGATAAGGATACTTTTTTGTTTTATTAAGCGGAGCCGTAAATCAATGAAAATAATAATAATAATGGCAATATATATGAATATGAATATGAATATTATATAAATTTATTGTCACAGCACCTACTCAGCTGCTGTTGTTACTACTACTACTACTACTACTACTTCCGACGCTTCTAATTCTTTACAAACAACAACAACAACGGTTACAACGATAGTTTATTGCCGCATAAAATCATTGTCCCTGTTTTTGTAAAATACCTTTTTTATATGTAAAATTGGGATTACTATATATGTAAGAAAGATAAATGAGAGAAATCAAGGATTTTAATAACTAAAAATCCAATTACACCAGCATTTTTTCTTTCTATAAATTACATGGGCAGATTTGAACTTTGTGTCACACGCAACGAAAAATAAATTGTTATTTTAATTTTTTTTACTTTATTTTTTTGCAAAAATTAATCATTATCCTTCTTTTTTCTGGGCCAAAGCTAAATACTGATATATCTATTATTTATAATGTTGTGTATAAAAATATTTAACTAACCAAAATAATTAACGATACTAAAAAATAATTAATTGAATAAATGAATGAATATGAATGAATATGAAATGAGTTAAAGAATATTATTAAATATGAATGAAAAAAAAAGGAGGGAGAAAAACGAATTCGTAAATTTGTAGATTTATATTTAAAAAATAATAATAATAAAGTCATGATTATCCCACATCAAATTAATTAAAAAAAAAAGTACATTATCATCATTAAAAAAAATAAACAATAAAAAAGCTAAAATAAAAAATTTTAATCTTGTTTGTCCAAAGATCTATCAATTTTAGCAACTCTAAACATAGCCAACATAGTGTTAGCAGCTCTGGAGTGTATATTTAATCCGCCATGGAATGCTTTTGAGGCATCTTTTCCGTAGAAAGCTTTTAAAATTTTGGCACCACCAGGGTGACTTTCCTTGAATTCGGCGATATCCAAAACAAAATCATCAATCACGAACCAATCTTTGCCCTCGTCGTTTACAGTCTTGTTATATTCGGAGTAGGAGATTACGGGTAATGAGCTTGGATCCACACCCCAATCCAATTTATCTTGTAATTTGTGAATTTTGAATAATTGCATGTTGGTTCTTGCTTTTTGTATTTCGTTTTCTGGGGATCGGTATACGGATGGAATTTGATTAGTGAACGTGTGGAAAAAGGATATACACCATTTTGTAGGATCATAATCGAAGATTCTATATCCATTTCTATAATCTTTAGGGAATTCATGATGCTAGAGAAAATGACGATGGACAAATAAAGAAATTTATCAATATATTGAGATATATGATATTATTATATAACATTCGTAAATGTCCAAAATATATCGATAAATATGCTTACAAAGTTATGATAACCTTCACCGCCTGTTATTATAGCAAGTAAAAGATTTCCACGAGCAGAGATTTCGTTTGAATAAAGTTGTTCACCGGTCCAATGTGCGAAACTGTTTATAGAAAATGTACCATGCCAGCTCAATATGCGACAAATTACTCCACCATACAAAAATCCACCTAATGCATCGTTCCAAAGTGATCCTATGACTGTTGGAAGTATGAATCCAAAGAAAAAGGCTAATGGTATAAAATATTTATGTTGGTATTTCACGACTATTGATTAGAGTGAAGGTGCGGATTTAGTTAGCAATTTGAATGTTAAAATTAGCCTCTTATAAAAATTGATGACAAAAATTTTACCTGGATCAGAAACTAAATCTGAGGAATCAATTGATTTCATTTTTGTATATCTTGGTTTTTGGAAAATCCATAAAATATGTGAAAACCAGAATCCTCTGTTTGAAGCATAAGGATCCTCATCGGTATCGGTGAATCTAATAATAATAATAATAATAATAATAATAAAGATTTAAGATTTTTTCTTTCACACAATTTTTAAAAAAATTTTTTTTTCTTTAAATTATTCACCTGTGATGTAATCTGTGTCTTAGGACCCACCATTTTATTGATCCTTGAAAACCAAGAGTTCCCATGACTCCAAGAGCCATTCTAAGTGGTAGACGTGCTGTAAATGCTCTATGACTCCATAATCGATGATAACCCATTGTAATGCTAATAAATCAATGAATTCACGTGAGATAAATATATATATATCATGCGAATATTCTCAATTGGTTAATAATTTAACAGAGACACACATACCCAAGACTAGCAAGTTGCCATAGAACAAAAGTGAGCCATTTTGTCTGTGAAGCGGGTGTATGAAAGATCAAAGCGTATAAAGCTAATAAATGAGTTGCAATTACGAATGCACCATTAGCGTACCATCCGTTCGCTTCGTTTTGTTTGTTGAGTTTTTGTTGTGGCTTATTAACGAAATTTTTTTCTGTTACTGTGCTCATTTTTTTTTTATCATACAATTTTTTAATCAATACAAAAATTTGGGATAAATAGTTTTTTTTTTATAATATTGTGATTGTTGGCGGTTGTGGTGATGGTGAGAAAAGGGAAGGGAAGTGAAGTGAAGTGAAGGGTATTTATATAAATATTTGGTAAAACGTGAAAATAAAATAAATATATTTTATTATTATTAATTGTTTTAAATATAAATCTACAAATTTTAAATTACAATTTTGCCAAAAAAAGAAAGATTTATTTATCGTTAAAATTATTATTTAATTAAAAATTTAAGACTTTAATTATTTCTTTTTGAACTCAAGTTTGTTTCTACTTATATATATAAAAACAATATACAATAAGATGCATATTTTCAAATTTTACAATATCAAGTCAGGTTAACATATGATTTTTTTGGGTTGGTTGAAAAATTGAAAATCATATGTGATGATGATACAATTAAATAAATTTTTAAATCGATTCATTCTCCCCCAAAACCCCAAGAAATTATTTCCGTTCTGTATGATGTTCAAATGACGATGGTTGTTGAATGGAAAAGAAAAATAGGACAATTGTTGTTTTTTTTTCAAATCATTGAAATCAGAAATAAACCGAATAAAAAATCTTACTCACGCTCATGCACACACATCAACTGTTTCTTGGCCGTTTTTTACTATGTCGCAGTTTAGTATATTTGATTTTTACCAAAAAGATTCTCTTGGAATTTCAAGGATTTTCTTGATTGATTCAAGAAACCCTTAAAATTAATAATTGATAGTAAAAATTGGGTTAAAATAAGTAGAAATTTTCCGTGGTTACATTATTTACTGCAATATTATCTCATAATTACCAAATTTGCAAAAAAAAAGAAATGTTAGAAAATGGAAAAAATAATTTAATTTCTTTTTTTCATATGATAATTTTACAAGCATTCGTATGATATCAAAATTTCTTAAATTAGATCTTCATTATGACTGTCTTTAAAAGGAATAATAGGAGACCAGGAATTAAGTTTAATAGCACGTTGTGTTTATTTTTATTTATTTTATATCGTGTGTAATGTCAAAATATTATTGTTTAAAATTTTAATATTAAATTCTCATAATGTGACAACAAACTAACCCCTGATAAATAAAAGTGTCATCAAGCCATATTTCCGATAATATTATTATTGTGAAAACACGCCTATATATATATATATTCACCTATTCCTTTTTGAACGCCATAATATATTGATTTTTTTTTCACAAACTACTTTTTTTTTAAATTGTCTCATGAGATTAATTTCACTAATTAACCCTCCCCATCCAAGTGGCTAATTAATTTTATGCATGAATGTGATTTACAAAAATGTCTAAAAATTATCATCTTTTTACATAATCACTATAAACTGCGGTACTACTGCGAGTGACGCAAACAAAATATTTTATCAAACCCCAAATAAAAAATGACGAATCACGATGTTGTTTTGTTGAAAGTGACGACCAAATCAAGCTAGTCAACTCTGAAATCAAGGTAACTACCCCATCCACCTACCGCATTCATCCGATATTTACTATATTCGAGGGGGCATTTGGCATTCCTCTTGCTTTCATCTAGCTTACTGTCTCTTGACAATTCATTGCTTAATGAATGTGAATGCATTGCTGTTCATACACAAGAAGGTATGATTCTATTTTGGATTATTTTTTATCGATAATTAATTTTCACAATGAATGCTTACATTTGACATCATCACAAAAGAAACTTGTAAGCCGAACGTCAAACATTTTGAGGGAATTGCTTGGTATACTTTTTATGATTTTCATTCACTATTCTACGAGAGTATCATTAACAAAGTATTTGCTGGAATCGAAGCAAGAAAGTGAATAATATTCTTATTGAGAGTAGCAAACTTTAAAAGTGGAGGTCAAACTCACTCATTTAGATTTTATTGGAAAATCCAAAGGAAGGGAAAGTTGACTTGGTATCTTTTCCACTTGGTGCAAAGAGAGTAACCACTAGTGTTGGTTTCCAAAACTAGAGAGTTTCGCAACCGTGCGAAAGTCAAAAGGTTTCGCCATAAGTCGAAACTAG